ATTTGTTTTGTTTTTTTGTTTTTAAACTCGTAAATTATCCAACATTGATTCAAGGAGAAGAAGATTTATGTAAGGCAATATTTTAAGAATTTCTCGTTATTAGGTTCCTAAAATGCCTGGGAATTCTCAAAGGGTTGTTTCTATTCAAAAAGTTTTCCAGTGTCCTCATATTAGAAGGTCAATTCCAGTTAGCAGGTAATGGGAATCTATCCCTGTACACACACACCAAAAGAAAAAAGAAAGAAAACCAAAATGCATTTCAAATAAGAACTCAGAATAGTTCTCTGCAGAGTTCAAGAAATTAGACCTTGGTTTTCTTAGCTAGGGACATTTTGGCTTCTTTATGTATAAAATTAGGGATACGAATGTCAAGATTCTACTCTAAGGCCAGCAAAGCCACACAAACGTACATGTCCTTCATTTGTTCAAAATGTATCCGTTATTTTACATTAAGACCAAATAAAACATTTATAAGATGATGAAATCTATTCATTAAAATTAATCCACAGAGAATGTTCTGTTAGGAAGAGAATGATTTGTGTATTAAGAGCCTTTCTCAAGACCATAGGTAACTGAGAAATATACAGTTACTTGTTTTATTTTAAACTCAGATGTCAGTGTATTCTAATTATATTGTCCTTAAAGTAGAAAAATAAAGCACATCATGGGAAAGAAGTACAGGTGTGGCCTTTTGAAAAAGACTCCTGTTAGCTGTCATAAAATAATTTCCTTGTGCTTTGTCAGAGAAAAACTGGAAAAGAATGCTCCGTTTTTGAAGCTTTTTTTTTTTAAGTCTAAAAAGGAAATAACCAGAACAAAAGTTATATTGACCGTCTGCCACACGGAACACCTGCTATCCATGTGGCACAGAATTGCAGGCCTGATTGTGTGCAGTATTGGGGAAAGTGGCATAAATTAACTAAAAAAAAAATCCACTGACCTAAATGGGGAAGTTGTGAATTAGCTACATTGGCCTTTTAAAAGTGCAAATTAGAAACAGGGATAGAAAGTAAGTCAAGGTCAGTTGGGGGAGGGTTTTTCTGTTGGTATTTTGAATTGCAAAAAAGCCAGGAAGCATTATTATATGCCTTAAAGAATGGAACTCATATACATATTAAAGAGATTGAAAAGAATTCAGAGAAAGAAAATATGGAAAACGATATCAACTGGTTTGTCTTTAAATTCTCTGGCAGAACTACTTTTTCATTCTAGAAATTTGCCTGAATTTGTTATTTCCCCTCCAATGTGTATTAGAGCTTAAGTTCTGAGCACCCATGGTTTACAAAGGCTGTGGAGGGCAGTGAAAACATTCGCAGAGCCCACACATAGCTTAAGCCTCCATTAAATGCTTTCTGATCTTTCAGGACAAATGCCTCCGAAAAAGGATTGTTACCACTTCTCCCTGGCCAGCCCGGGGAAGGGCAGTCTCTCTGCGACTTGCCTTTGTGTGCCTTTAATGGAAGTAAATTGACTGGTGACTGTACCTGGACAGGGGTCTGTTAGACATGAGTCCTATCCTATAAGCCCTGTCCTTAGTCAGAAGGCCTTGGACCATCTTGTAAGCCCTTTTATAGATAACAATGTATGTGTCCTAAGCTTGGTCCCATTCCTGGTTCTATAGTCCCACCTGTAATTGTGATGTATTCATCTGCCACCAATTACGACTGTTTTGTTTTTTAAAAATCATTTTATTGGGGGCTCATACAACTCTTATCACAATCCATCCATCCATTGTGTCAAGCACATTTGTTGCCCTCATCATTCTCAAAATATATGCTTTGTACTTGAGCCCTTGGAATCAGCTCCTCATTTTCCCCCCTCCCTCCCTGCTCTCCTATCTCATGAACCCTTGATAATTTATAAATCATTACTATTTTGTCGTGTCTTACACTGACGTCCCCCTTCACCCACTTTTCTGTTATGATTTTGTGACCTTTTGCCGCCTTCCCATCCCCCACCCCTTCACCCCTTCATAGACTGTTTTTCTCAATTGTGACTGGGGGGGGATCGGAAGGGGGGGAGAGGCACATTTTAATTTTGTGTTAGGGTCATCCAGATGATGGATCTGTGTTGTCTTTGTCTCTTTTAAGACTTAATAAATGTTCTCTTTAAATTATATTTCAGATGGGGTCTCTCATGTACCCTAAAGCAAGTGCCATTGGTAGTCATACAGCCTTGGTCTTGGGCTAAATCTGAGTTAAGAACTATTGTAAAAAGACTTTCCTGACTCATGTGAAAATCCACAGGTATTTTTGCATGAACGTACCATCTTGATTAGAGATCAGATTCATAGAATTTGCTGCATGTTATTACATTGAGGAGAAGCAGCCATATGGATGGCTACAGCCAAATGGAAGGACCCGGAGGCAAGTCTTGTCCCAAAGACTGGTACTATAGGAAAGGGTTTTAGGAACGAGGTTCAAAAATTAGTGAAATAACATTTTCGAGAGGATCTCTATGTCTTGTTGCATCAGTTCTCTGAATTTGAACTTTCAGGCTTAGAAGCAGTCGCAAAGGAACCTAGACCTGCATTTAAGTCTGTTTCTTGAGAGGGCTGTTGCCTGAATTGAGAGTAAAGAGGAAGCTTTCTGCCCGTAAACAATTACCGTCTCAGAAACACAGGGGCCGTTGTGCCCTGTCCTGTAAGTCATTGTGAGTCAGCATCGACTTGATGGCAGTGGGTTTGGTTGCCTGCATTAGCAGCATCAGTGAATCAAATATGGACATTTTTAATTCTTTAAGAATTTGGCTATAAAACTCACTGATGTCCAGTCCATGCCAACTCATAGTGACCCTATGGGTTTCTGAGACTGTAACTCTTTCCTACGGTAGCCTATAAACTAGCGCTGGTTGAAGAAAGGCATGAGGAAGTTAAATTAAGAAAGAGGGAAAGGGTGGAGGAGTTGGTGGCTTCACAGTGAGGCCATAAGAAAGTTCCTATGAGGGGACAGCTGAGGCAGACCTGCCTAGGAATGAGCTAACTTATTATTACTCTAAGAGACCTGAGTGTTTAAAAGGGGATTGCTGAAATTGAAGAACGAATTTTCATTTGTGTATCCCTGCAGCACCTTCCTTACTGTCATAGTGGCAGGGCTCTGAGGACTTAGGAGGGTTCACTATGGTTCCTCTTTTAACAGTCAAGGAGAGACAACACCCAGGTAAATGAGGGACCACTTCTGCCTCATTCAAAGCCAGTGCTAATATATTTAGGACGTAAGATTTATATCCTATTCTCAGCAGTGAAACTCCTGTGAATCTATTGGGGTGAGACTTCGTGATCTAAATGACTCTGTTACGTACAGATTACCACAGTGTAGGGACTCTGCTGACCTTTCCTCCAGATGACTCTCTTGATGAAAGAAAGGTGGAGAACATTTTATGCTTTATCCAAGGATTGAGGAAAGTAGAGGAGACAATAGGACAAATTCGGGGAGGGAGAAATACTTACTGAACTTTGGGCAAAGATAGTCACAGAAGTGGGAAGGGTTTTATCAGCTGAACTCATCGGGAGTCAAATAGACATTTCTAAGCCTTTGCCTATAAATAGCCCAATATCCTTGGAAGCCAGAGCTCTAACAGGTTTAGAACCCATCAATCACCATTTCCGTCACAGGGGTCATTCTACCTGGTCTTATAAAGTCACGATGCGTCAGCATTGGCCTATTGGCAGGGAGTTTGGTTTGGAATTTTTTGCTTGCAAGATATGATTTCCCTGTGTATGAGGAGCTATCAGTAAGTACAGGTGACTCTTGAAAGACATGGGTTTGAACTGAGTGGATCCACTTAACACAATAGATTGTTTTTTAAGTGCCATGTGATGCTAAGTCTCTCTGTATTAGCCGTCCGTCTCCCATAAACGACATAGCAGTGGAAAGTGATCTTCTGGAGTCTCTCATGTTTCATTGCATTTAGGACACCATCGTTGACCCTGAGTAACACCACGGCACCCATTCAAACCGCCTCAAATGACGCCGGAAGTGTTTCCAAGAAGCAGGAAGTTAGGACATTACCAGAGAAAGTTGAATTGCTTGATCTGGACCATAAATTTGGATTAGCAGCTGCAGCTAGTTGCCTGGCATACCAGATAAAGGAATCCAGTTTAGGAGACTTGTGCAGCCAGCATTGTAGCAACAATAGTAGGTGCAAAAACCATGCACTTTTTGCAAAATATCTTTTTGTCTCATAATGAAAATGCGGCTTTTATGTGGATGCAGTATATTAGATACAAAATATGTGTTAATCATTATTGGCCAGGTCAACAATAGGCGTTTAAGTTAAGGCTTTGGGGAGTCAAAAGTTACATGTGGATTTGTGACTGCAGGCCTTGTAATTTGGACCCATTTACCTCGTACTTGATGGTCTGTTAAGGTGACACATATCAAATTCCCTGCCAGTAGCAATACCTATCAGAGTAAAGGCCTTCCTGGGAAAGGCATGATCCACAAATAAATATCTACATTTAAAAGTTCCTGGGACTGGAGCAGGGCGATCTAGTGAGCTGAACCTGAACTCAGTCCTGCCATCTAGTGTCCAATAGTGCTTTTGCAGGCCTCAGAACTGCAGTCACAGAAACACAGGAAGAGTAGTTGATCACTGAACAACTCATTGACTTTGAGTTGTTCAAGACTATAATTCCTCTTTCTACTGTGGAGTGGCCGGTGGTTTTGAGCAGCAGGTGGTTTCAAACTGCTGACCTTGCAGTTTGACCTAGCAATTCAAGATGTAATTATACTGAGAGGGCTCCTCCTCCCTCCCTCCAGTGGATGCTCCGGTAAGGGTGGAACTTGGTATCTAATATGAGCGAAAGCATTTACAATTATAATGATAAGTATTTATTATTCCCGGTGTCTGACTTCTTTCTCTTGGACAGTCAGCACACGCCATGTTTCCATTTCTTCTGACCTTGCCTCTTTCTTCACTGTCCTTCGACCCAGGATTCTGTACGCAGGAATCACCTTTGAAGTCAGGGGGCACAGGTGCGGGGAGCGAGAGGAACGGCAATGGCGTCCACAGTGCTGGTGGACATACGAGATGAAGTGACCTGCCCTATCTGCTTGGAGCTCCTCACAGAACCCATGAGCCTAGACTGTGGCCATAGCTTCTGCCAAGTCTGTATCGAAGGGAACAGCAAGCCATCAGAGGTCATCCCAGACGAAGGAAACAACTGTCCCGTGTGCCGAGCCAGCTACCACCCTCCGAACCTCCGACCGAATCGGCACCTGGCCAACATAGTAGAGAGGCTCCGGGAGGCAGCGTCCTGCCCCGAGGCGCAGCCCAGAGCAAGTCTGTGTGCTTCCCATGGGGAGAGACTGCAGCTCTTCTGTAAGGAGGACGGGAAGATCATCTGCTGGCTCTGCGAGCACTCGGTGGAGCACCGCGGCCACCACACCTTCCTCGTGGAGGAGGTGGCCCAGGAGTATAAGGTAAGAGGGTAGGGCTGAGCAAGACAGAACTGAGCTCTACTCTGATTTCTTTGTACTTCCCTTTTCCCTGGAGGATGAGTCCAGGAAAGGTCCTTTCTGACCAAGAATAGAGACCTTCTTACAAGTAGCGCAAGAGGAGTTCTGCTGGGCTTTTTGAGCAGAAGGGGATGTGGGGGTTAGAAAGACGAGGACAGGGTAGGTTCCGTGTGGGCGATATGTTGGCAATGAGCATAAAGGACTCCATGCGCTTTGGAATCAGAGATAGACAGATGCCCTCGGGTTTTCATCCCAGGACAGACAGCCGTCCCCTGAGGTCTGCACAATCTCTACCTCATTCGTTTCATGTCTGGGCACTGAGATAACATGTAGCTTGTCTCTGCTTGACCTAGCGTGTTCGTTCTAGGAGCTGTTCCAGGAGCATTTGAAGAAGCTCACGAAAGAGCAGCAGGAAGCGGCGAAGCTAACAGCTGTTACTAAGGAAAAGAAGACCCGCTGGAAGGCAAGTGGGGCTCTTGCTGAGGGACCTCGGCACAGTCATCTGGACAGGGGGTGGGAGCCGAGGGTGAAAGGAGCCCTGATCCCGAATGTTGGTGTAGAAGAGCTTACAGCCTTTCTGGTTATGGTCGTAGCCCTTGATGTACACATCAAGCGTGGTCCTGAGCTTTCAGAAGCAATCCCATAGGGAAGGAAGCATGGGCAGAGGTGAGCATTCATTTCAGACTCCGGCCCGTGATCGTTTCAAGCTTCTGGGTAAGCAAGGACTGTCTGTTTCTCTTCCTTGGTCTTGAAGAGTCAGATGGAGACTGAGATACACCGGGTCCAGAGACAGTTTAAGCAGCTGAGAAGTATTCTAGACAAAGAGGAGAAGCGGGAACTCAAAAAGCTGGAGGAAGACGAGCGGAGGGGCCTGCGGCTCATAGAGGAGACTGAGGACGAGCTGGTCCGGCAGAGCCAGGCCCTGACCGACCTCATTGCAGAGCTGCAGCAACGGTGTCAGGGATCAGCGCTGGAGCTGCTACAGGTAAGGGTGCGGACCAGGATTAGAATCGCCTTCTGATGCCTGCCATCCTCTGAGGACAAGAAAGAAGTTGCCTTTGTCGCTGCAGTCCCTTTTCCTTATCAAATGAAGTAGAGGTAATGGGGCGAAGCATGAGATAATTAATTAAGAGTCATTGCACTCTTCTCTTTGTACTTATAAGAGACCCTAGAGATCTGTCAGATCGAATGGTGTTCCTTAGCAGCGTTTCTCAGCTTTGCCACCATGGACATTTGGGACCAGAGAATGGTTTTCTTCGTAAGGCCTCCTTCTGTACATTGCGACTGATTTATCAGCATCTCTGGTTGCTGTGAGGCGACACAGACTGCACAGCAGTTCCTTTGTCGGTTACTTGTTCTTGGGCCCTCGTATCAGAGTTGTGAGTAATTAATTTCCACCTCCTGGAGCTTTTCTTCATTCTCTGTTTGGAGGAATACAGTTTTATTCTTGATGTTCATTTTCACAGTTAACTTACCCGAGAGCTTTCTCCTTGCTTCTTCCCAACTGTCTTCAAACTATAAGAATTACTGCTTCGATGCAGTTTATGTCACCACTCTAGGCACCTTTGTAGATTCTCACGCTCCTAGGACTGTCTGATGGCCATTTTATTATTATTTTTTTTAGGATTCAGTTGTAAGTGATTTTTTTTAACAGTAGTATTATTGACATATCTTACATATTCTAATATATCCATTCACAGACAATTCTGTTGTTCAGTCCCATTGAGAAGACACTGTTCCTTTTTTTCATGGTTTGATTTGTCTTTTTTTTAAATTATTATTAAAAGATCATTTTATGGGGCTCTTACAGCTCTTATAACAATCCATACATCAGTTGTATCAAGCGTATTTATACATATGATGCCATCATTTTCTAGATGTACGCTTTCTATTGAGCTCTTAGTATCAACACCTCTTTCCCTCTTTCCCTCCCTTCCCCCACCCTCACGACCCCTTGATAAATTATGAATTATTATTATTTTCATATCTTACACTGAGTGCTCTCTCTTCCCCCATGCCAAGGATGACTGCAGCATTGATGCTGTCTCCCCATCTTTTCAGACCTCTCAATCAGACATTCCTCCTTTGCTTTTCCATATCTGTGTAAGTGACATTATTGATCCTTAATATTTGATAACCATCGGTTACATATTGGGCTGCTAACTGCAAGGTCAGCAGTTCGAAACCACGAGACACTCCCTTGGGAGAACGATAGGGCTTTCTATTCCGGTAAAGCGTTACGGCCTCCGAAGCTCCACAAGGGCAGCTCTACCCTGTCCTGGAGGGTGGCTGTGAGCTGGCCTTGAATTGATGGGAATGAGTTAGTTTGGTTTGGCTTGACGAAGCCTAAGGCTTCATTGTGCAGCATGAATTCAGAATGAAATCAACATAAGATAAATAAACCGTGAAGTAATACCTGCCTTAAACATAGCCGTGCCTTGAGATTGATATAATCCTGGATATCCTATTTGTCAAGTTAACAGATCCATCAATTACAGGGCTTTCCCTGCCCTTGAATTCCTTGAATTTTCCTGTCTAATGCAACCAAATAAGAAGGTATGAAAAAAAATGTATTGTTACAAAGGAAATGTTTTTAAACAAAAATATCAAAGTGTAAAGCTAGTGTTTCTTGCTGTGTCCTTTATCCTCTGTTTCAGCTCAAGTATGTATATAGGTAGTTTCCACCTCTGTCACTGTTGTCCTCTCCCCACCCCCACACTAAATGACCAAATGGCAGTTGTAGTATCTTTGAGGGACTTCCATTATAATCCTTTGAAAAGTTCTTTGAGCTTTAAGAAGTACAGAGAGACTTTTAAAGGGCAAAGTCAGGGCTGGAGATTAGTGGGTGATGTTAACGATTAAGATTCTCCGAGAACAGCCTTTGCTACCCTGGAAGCGTGAGAATGTGCATTGTCATGTTGGGAAAAAACCTCTTCCTTTCCCAGATTTCCTGGCCTTTTGCTCACCAATGTAGTTTTACATTTCCTTAAAGCTTCTGCATGAGAAGCCTCTGTGACCTCCTATGTCCTTGGAGAAAACTAATCAAAATTACCTTTGGGGAATCTCAAAACAAGAATTCCCAAAACCTTCAAAGTTGAGCTCTTGAATTTAGCAATTTAACTTAACTTACTGGCTTGTTTTCATTTTGATTTGATTTGATGAAAGCACCCTGAGACTGAAACTAGTGTGTTATTGACAAAACATCCATTACAATCACAGAGACAGGTTTACCTGGTGGTAGAGCGATGTGTCCTCTGGTACAAGCCCCTAAACATGTGAAGAGGCGCTGCGGTGGCAATACTTTGATTTACCCATGTATGTCATTGATTTGGAGACAATTGTTGTATCATATAGCTCAAATATGGGCTGTTTAAGGATCACTGAAGCTCTTTGAGCAGAAATCAGGCAATTCTACCCTTAACCATCAGGAGACTACAAGAAGTTGCAAGTTGAAAAAGGATGGGTTTAGTCACAGATGGTATCACGGTGAATCTATGGTCATCTTTAGGATGGTCCTTTCCTAAACTTGGCAGCTGGGTGCTGGTATCATTTCAGGGGTATGGAGGATAAGAAAAGAGAGCGATTGCAGGAATATTAAGTGTCATGTTAAATATTTTGAATTTGGGGCCCGGGGGCTCCTTTCCTTGCTCGGCTCAATGCATTCATGTGTATTGAAATCAGAACGATGGGCAAAGTCCGCAGAAGTGCAGAGTAAGTGTTGAAGGAGGTGAGCTTTGAGAACAACCACATCTAAGGCCCCTTAGCTTGTATCCTGAGGAGTTGCTGTGGCTCGGTGGTCCAAACCTGTGGCAGCTTCCCATGGGGAAAGACCTAGCATTCTGTTTGCAGAAACGATGGTGCAAGTGTGCTGTGTCATGTAGGGTCTCTGAGTCAAAACCTGTGCACAACCATGACTTGCATCCTTCGTAACCAGAAGGTGAATGTCTCAGGTGCATATATGACTTAGTGACCTCAGATTCTCCAGGTCTGGGCACTCTGTGTAGGAAATAGTAGATTTTATACATATGTAACATGATATCCGTGTATACGCATGCGCACACGGAGATGGAAAAACATGTAAGAATAGTGAATGCATGTTTTTGCCTGATGTCTCACATGAGCTCTTAACACTGTTGTGATGCCTTTCCACGGAGGCCCTTTTCAGTCTCATCGTCCCATAAAGTGGCGTGCAAATGGGATGGGGAATACAGGTGAGGCTTCATTAGAGGGGAAAAGTCTATTCTCGACTTAACCTGTCTCTTTCTTTCCTAGGACATAAATGATGTCACACAGAGGTATGTATCGAGTGGCGTGGTTCCCTTGTATTTTCCAGAGATTCCTACAAACATAGACTTTATTTTATAATCAGTGGGGAAGGAAAAAGAAAATTTATTGGGGTATGATTTGGAACTTTGGAGGGTTACTCATTATAAGAATTTTGGGGTTTCAAAAATTTGGACTTCTGTGGAAGGAGAATTTGGGTGCTGAGAGGTCATGAATTGAGGACAATCATTCTTTTTTTAATTTTATTTTTAATCATTTTATTGGGGGCTCATACAACTCTTATCACAATCCATACATGCATCAATTGTGTAAAGCACATTTGTACATTCGTTGCCCTCATCATTCTCAAAACATTTGATCTCCACTTAAGCCCTTGGCATCAGCTCCTCATTTTTCCCCTTCCCTCCCTGCTCTCCCCTTCCTCATGAACACTTGATAATTTATAAATTATTATTTTGTCATATCTTACACTGTCCGACATCTGCCTTCACCCACTTTTCTATTGTCCATCCCCCAGGAAGGAGGTTATATGTAGATCCCTGTAATCGGTTCCCTCTTTCCACCCTACCCTCCCTCTACCCTCCTGGTATCGCCACTCTCACCACTGGTCCTGGAGGGATCATCGTCCTGGATTCCCTGTGTTTCCAGTTCCTATCTGAACCAGTGTACATCCTCTGATCCAGTATGTTTCATCGTTGCTACCCTACACCCTGACTGGCTCGTCTCCTCCCCGCGAGAGGACAATAGTTCTGTATAAGAATAAGGAGTTTCTTAGTGATTTCCCAAGTCCTGTCACATGAGTCCTTTTCCATAACCCCTTATAATAGCTTCCTGCTCTGATTCTAATCGTGTATTGCTACCTCAGAAGACACAGATTTTCTGTACCTGTGTATTTTATCATAGCCAGATATCTGTTTGAATTGTTTTTTAAGTTTGGAGAACCAACTCTTAGAGCAACTGCCTTATGCTTGCCTTTATTTCTGGCTTTGGCCAGTCAGAGCATCACTCTCTCACCCCCTCACATTTCCCCCTTTCTCAGTTAATAAAAAGGTAAGTCTTTGGTCTCAGGAGAGGCTTTGTCTTTGGGCAAACATTTGTTCTCTGTGACATGCTCTAGAGCAGCGGTTCTCAACCTGTGGGTTGTGACCCATTTGGGGGGCGAATGACCCTTTCACAAGGGTCGCCCGATTCATAAGAGTAGCAAAATGACAGTTATAAAGTAGCAACAAAAATAATGTTATGGTTGTGGGTCACCACAACATGAGGAACTGTATGAAAGGTCGCAGCACTAGGAAGATTGAGAACCACTGCTCTAGAGCCTCATTAAAGCAAGGCGGTATCTCTAGTTTCTCAAGTACGTGGGATCTTCTACTTTCTCACAGACAGATGCATTAAATACAAAGCCTGCTTGTTCCTTCTGAAATTTTCATTCTCAGCATGGAGGTAAAGGCATCTCCTTTCTCCAGTTAATGTCATATTTTGAGAAGAGTGAATCCTAAGATTCTCTTCTGAAGCCCATACCCCATAGCTGCTTGGAGTCCCTGGGGCCAAACTACCTCTTTTTTTTTGAGAAATCACAAAGGTTTCCTCAGCCATTATTTACCGTCATGCCTTCTTTAGAATGTAGCGCTGGGAGAGAAACAGTATACTTACAGAGGGTTGTAGAAGGCCAGTTTGGAGGAGTCTTAGCGACATTTACACGATGGTGAGCAGCTCGTTTCCGTCTTCGGTGCTGTGGTCCCAGGGCTTCCCCAGCCGGCCTGGCTGGTGAGGGAGCGGAGCTGAAGGGACCCAAGGTTGGAGGTTCACAAGGCTTGTTGTCCATAGGAGTGAGTTTTGGACCCTGAGGAAGCCAAAAGTCCTTCCTACCAAGCTGAGAAGTACGTTTCGAGCCCCAGATCTGAAAAAGATGCTGCGAACATTCAGAGGTGAGGAGAGTTGGAAGGAACTTTGGATGGTGGGTTGCTGTAGTGGTCAGAAAAAGTTGGACAGGGAGTGTAGTTGGGTTAGTAGAGAAGAGAAGAGGGAGCCTTGGTAGTGTGCTGAAGGAGGGGTGATTCACATCCCCACAGATTACCCTCCCCTCCCCCGCCCCCCTCCTCTCTACTAAGCAGAGTGTTATTAGTCCTAAGACCTTGGGGTTTATCCACTTTGACTTTGTTTTAATCTTTACAGATCTGACAGGTGTCCAGAACTTCTGGGGTAAGTAGAAACCGAAGCCTCTTTGAGCATACATGCTTTGATCCCCTTTCACATGCCCCACCCCAAACAAGGCCCCCCACACTCTCAAGACAGGAGATGTTATAACGCTCCCACTAATATTCTTACAGAGCAACAATTGCTTCCAGTCATTTCCCGTGTTCCTGTCTCCTGATGCTGTAAGATGTGTACCCATTCACCTCTGCTCATGGTGTACTTTTTCCCACAGTGGATGTGACTCTGAACCCGCAGACGGCTAATTTAAATCTTCTTCTGTCTAAAAACCGAAGGCAGGTGAGATTTGTGGGTACAGATCTGCCTGGGCCTTCCTGTCTGAGAGAGCATTATGACTGTGGTGTCCTGGGCTCCCAGCACTTCTCCTCAGGAAGACATTACTGGGAAGTCGATGTGAAAGACAAGACGGACTGGATTCTGGGCGTATGCAGTAATTCAGTGGAACCTACCTTCTTCTCTTCCCACCACTACACCAACCATCAGAATGGCAGCTCCAGCTATCGGCCTCAAAGTGGATACTGGGTGATTGGCTTAAAGCACAAGCACGAATACCGAGCCTATGAAGACGCTTCCACTTCCCTGCTGCTTCTCATGACCACGCCACCTCACCGAGTTGGGGTTTTCTTAGACTATGAAGCTGGTATTGTCTCCTTTTATAATGTCACAAATCATGGTTTTCCCATCTATACCTTCTCTAAGTATTACTTTCCGACTCCCCTTTGCCCATATTTTAATCCTTGTAACTGTGTGGTCCCAATGACCCTGTGTAAACCACACTCCTGAGCCTTCTCCTGTCCCCAGCTACGTCTGTAACAAAATGTCGGGATACAATTCAATCCCTGACCCCACGTCTGAGCAGTTCCTTCTGCGCTTAGAGTTCATGTACTCCCGAGTGTCTACCTTGTGACCCGTTCTGCTATCTTCTCACTTCCTGCTCTCTGAACATCTAGTCAATGCTGCATATACTCACCGGTGAATGTTGACATTCTTGATTCATCGTGGATATTGGATGAGACATAGGGGGACTTTGAGCATGTTGTCTTTAAAGAACTGTGTACTTATTACTAATTCATGGAATCAAATTTGGGAGGTTCCATTCTAAATCCCTTTTGGGTTTCTGTTTTTGTACTCAATGGAAAATTGAATTTCAATCTAGTCTTTAATTGAAATCATTAAGGGACATTTTTATTTTGTTAATGTGGCTAAATACTTTGATTGGTTTAAGATGCTAACTTAACCACAAGTTCTTGGAATAGGACATTATTCATTTGTTGGGCAAATCTGCTGCCAACAACCTCTTTAAAGTTTGTTTGTTTTTTTGAAAAGCAAAGATGTCGCTTTGAAATCTAACCATGTCATTTTCACTTGCCTCGTATGTATGCAAATAACTAAACAATGAGTAATAAAGACCACAGAAGAATTGATTCCTTTGAATTTTGATGTTGGTGGAAAATATTGACGGTACCTGTTTATTCCAGCAGTACGCTGGTTATGAACATTCACCTTTGGGACAACTCTTAGGAGCAGAAGTGAAGTTCTACAGTCTGGCAGATTCAGCGTAGTGCCAGAACAGGAAAATTACACGTCAAAGCCCCAGAATCAGAGACCAGAAGAGGCACAGTGGACCCTTTGAGAAGCTGATGGTGACATTTAGCTTGACTGTAGAGCGTTCAAAGGGATGCATTCATCTGCCGTCTTGGAGCGAGACAGCACCGCTTTGGACTATGCTCAGAATCCAAAGGCAAGAAATTTGGTTGCGGTGCAACATGTATGCTGCCATATTCCCTAAGAGGGAGGCTACGGTAACTTTATAACCAGGCTTGGACCGAACGTTTTTCTAGTTCCAGCTCTCTGTCTGGTCCCCAAGTCAGAAGGGCACTGAACAGCAACAGCAGGGGCTCCGTTATCTGATTGGATTCATTTTTGCTACTGCATTAGGCTGATTTTCATCAGTGCTGATGATGGAAATAGGCCTATACTTTTGCATTTATTCTAATGTCTGTCGGGTGATAGAAAATGCAACATTGAGCAAAGAAATTGTTCTATTTGCAAGTGTCCATGTTTTTATATATGTTGTAGTAATTTTTTAATAAGAATTAATACCAAATTAGTTCCAAGGAGTTGGAGATTGCCCCAAAGTCCAAATAGTCTGCTCCATCCAGCACCCTTGCACCCCCACCCCCCACCCTCAGCCCCCATACACATTCACTCTTAAGAATATTTCCTTACGTTTTCGGGTTCTGCCGTGTCCCAAGAGTTTAGGAACGTTGCACCGGTGATGGTGGTGGATGCTATTCAGTTCAAATCTGCAGATCAGTAGGGTGAGCTAGATGCTGAGTCCAGAGCACAAACTCCACCCTGACTCCTTGTTCCTGGCCGTGGGTGATGGAATCACACTCCCTGCTTCTTGCCAAAAAAAAAAAAATGACATCAAGTCAAAACCTAGTCATAACTACACTTTAGGTCAGAGTAGAACTGCCCCTGTGGGTTTTGAGACTACAACTTGGGAGTAGAAAGTCTTATCTTCAAACTGCTGGCCTTTCAGTTAACAGCCTAACACATCACCACTACACCACCAGGGTGCTGGTATATGCAGCAGGCTGGCATTCCACAATTATAGGCTTTTCACATCTGTATTTTCCCCCACCTTCCATCCAGACCCATGTAATGTAAGGTGGTTTGGTGGGAGTTATGTGGTGCAATCAAATCAACATAATCTTTGACCTTGTTTAATAATACCCAGATAGAATTATTCCCTACCCCTCCACTATCTTATTAAAGGGGCCTCTAGCAGAATGATTCCAGTAGGCATTGACCTACTAATCATAACCAGCCATCTTTTTTCTTAGGCCAATCCAAAGGCAGCTTTTCTCAGCTGTAGAATATTCCTTAGAGCAACAGTGACCAAGTACATTAAAATGTGGTCCAATTCACATTCTCTGGTAATGTCAAGACTTAATCTCATCCTATTCCTGTTGATTTGTAGATAATGCTCTACAAAAGAGACTAGCCACAGATCATCTGAAACCCAGAATATCACATAAAGGATTATAGCTGCAAGGGCCATGTAAATTGACCATAACTCATGAATCTATATAGCAGTGAATACTGGTAACAAATCATTGATGTTAACGAAATTCAAATTGAAGACATTACAAGTCTACAATGCATGGATCTTAAAAGTTTACAGCAAACTGGAAAAATAGTGTGTTAGATCAGATTGACTAGAGAAACAAATTCAGCGATATGTGTAAAAAAGAGCTTTATATCAAGAATCGCGAAAACATCCCAGCCCAGTCAACTCAGGTCCATAAAACCGAAACTAGGCCCTAAGTCCCTCTTCAGACTCACGCAGCACATGCAGTGCTGCAGAATGCAGGGAGATCACCTGCCTGTGGGTGCAAAGTCCTGTGGATCCAATGGCAGTGGACGCATCTCCAGGGTTCTGGCAGAAACCAGGGTTCACCTGTAGAAAGGTGAAGGCAGAGAGAAGGAGAGTTTCCGAGGGTTCTCATGAGAAGACCACACCCTCAAGGAGGTGCCCTCAGGCTGTGACCTGAGTGACGGGTTGACTACCCCCCTACACTTTTATGTGTCTTCTAGTTAACGTGGAATTATGTAACTACCACAGATAGGAAGGTATTTTACAAATTAATTGAAGTAAAGAGGAGGTCTTATAAAGAAAAAAAATGGGTCCTATATAAAACCAGAAGGAGATGAGAGGAGCCAGGCAAAGAGAAATAGATATCCTATACTTTTATGAAGAGAATAGTTTCATCTAGTGTCACCCAAACAAGCAAATAGCTAGTGAATGGGCTATGACTGGTGGGAGGAAGCTGAGTGCTTATTTAGAATAAAGTAAGATGTATGTGAGGATGGCATCAGTGGCAGCTGCCAGCCATGTGGTTATGGAGTACTTCAAATGTGGCCACTGCTCTGAATTGAATTAGACTGCAGATGTAAAATATACACCAGAGTTTGAAGACCCAATCCTCCCTCCAAATATAAAATATAACATTAATAACTTTTTGTTTTGTATTTATTAAACTAAAATAAGTTCTTTTACCAGTTTCATTTTATTTTTTATATGTAGATACTCAAACATTTTAATTATATATTGGCACATTATATTTCTTTTGAAGAACACAGGATTAGAGCCTGTAATACAAATTTCTATTGTGGTGTAGTGGTTACACATTCGGCTATGATCTGCATGATCTGCAGTTCAAAACCACCCGCAGCTCTCTGGGAGAAAGACTGGGCTTTCTACTCCGTCAGCATTTACAGTCTTGGAAACCCACAGGGCTGCCGCTGTAAGTCAGCATTGATTCCACGGCAGGGAGTTTTTTTTGTTTTTTTTTTAAAGGAGCCCTGGTGTTAGAGTCTAAAGCTTTAAGGAAAGTGTGCTCATCTCTGCTTGGGCCCAACTCCATCTCTCCCAGAGAAGCCTTTTTGAGTGCAGCTGCCTTCTGACCTTGCTATGCCTTGTCAAAGATTTCCTGGATCAAGAGATTTGGGCCCAAGGAACAAAATCAGAATGGTTCCATTCCCTAGTGGATTTGAGTGAAAACTGGTAATCAAATCAGACACCACTCTAAGACAAGACATTGGAGAAGAACCTGGCCGGGCGGGTCTGGAAGGAGTTGCAAGTGTGATCTCACTCAGGATCACTAGCATATTCTACTATATTAAGTTTAAAACTACCGTTTCGGGTCATTTGAACACGTATTAGAAAACATCTGGTTTCTTTCTTTGCTTTTATGTCTCCACATGAAGTATTTTACTAATATTTACTAGTAACTATTGAAACCTTCAGTATATATATACATATATCTAGCCTCAAATATGACACCCCAGTTATTTCAAAGGGTTATTTCTCAGGATCCAAGGGCAGCGATCCCTGGATCTGGGGGAAGCCAATTTCTTTAGCAGATGGCACTCAATTGAAGTCTGGACCTGAAGAGATGTTGCAAATGGACAGACTGGATTTGGAATTTGTGTTCAGCTGTGAAAAGAGCAACTGAATTCCTTGCTGTCCTGAAAAAATTAAAGCAGGATTTCTCTACCTCGGCGCTGTTAACATTTCTGACTGGACAAGTCTTTGTCGTAGGGATGTGTTTAGCCACATCCTGATTCTCTCCTCAGTAAATTCCAGCGGTATTGCTCTAGTGACAACCAAACAGCCCCTCCAGCCTTGGGCAGTCCCCACTGCATTGTTGACGGTTTGGCCTGTAAGCTTCTCCTCCTTCCTCTTCTGGCTCACATCAGGAAATAAACTTTCTTTACTGGCTGAGCTCTTCAGAGAGGAACTGGTTCTCGGAGATCAGGCCGCCAGTTTGGTGAGTGAGTCTGGGTCACACTTTCTGGGGGCCCCCCTGAACCCCTCCATCAGGACTCAACTTCTGCAGCAGGCCTGAAGGTACGAGTGAGTGATGGTGTGCAGGGACGGGAGAGTGGGAGACTTGGGGAACCCACAACACCAATCCAAAGTCTGCCCCAAGTCTATTCTGATTTAGGCCCCCGAGACGGCTTCCCAAGACTCAGTCTTGACCGGAAGTCACTTCCTATTTCTCCCTTGTATTGACTGGTGGGTGTGAGCCCCTGAGCGAGTGGTCAGTAGCTTGTAAAGAGGGGTAAAGAAGATCTTGCAGTAACATCTCAGTGCTTACCTCCAAGTGACACACACACACACACACACACACACACACACACACACAATACTGACAGGGTAGAACTGCCCCTGACA